AGCACTGAGTGCCTCGTGGCACAAGGGACAAGGCTAAGAGCCAGTACCGCATGGCTGAGTATGGTTAAACCACAGATGCCAGGGCCTGAACTGGCACACGAAGGCCAGTAGAGTAATGTGCATCATAGAGAGTTGGGCGCTGTGTTCTAAAATGCAAAGTCCCTCACCTCTCCAGCGTGGGAGCCAACACATCTCTTGGAAGTGTCTAAACCTAGGCTTTTAGCACGCACACAGGTGAGGAAACTGAGGTCCCTCACCTGATAACAAGTTCCTAGTCATCAGCTGAGATGGAATCCCTAGTTCCAGCTCATCCACTTGCCTCGTCTGTTGCTTCCCTGGCCAAGGTTGTACTCACCACAGGCCTTGGGCTGTGTTAGGAGATCCTTTTGCAAATGAGAAAAACTAAGGCTCGGAGGGAAGAAACAGCCCCAAGCTGAGTTTCAGCTTCTTGCAGTGAAGGCCTTGTTGCTTGCATCCTCTGCCCCAACCCTTCACTGCCCCAAAGCTTTCCGAATGACCTTGCCCCCCACCACCTCCTCGCCCCTGTCACCCCACAGTGTGTGGGGAGTTTGCTTTGAAGTGTTTTCCCTTTTTTGGCCCTGGAGTTGTTCTAAATCTTCACTCATTTACAACTAAATTTTCTGGGCAGAGCAGCTGCCTGGTCCTGGTTGGAAAACCAAGCCTGCTGGTTCCCACTGGGATTGGGGCTCCGGGGTGGGGCACTGGGCACAGGTGAGAGGCTGGAGTGAGGGGCAATGTCATTTCTCACTTCTCCCAGTTCCCCCCAGCTAGGGGTTCAGGTGACCGTGCCCCCTCGGGTGCTCTCCCAGCTTCTTCCATCCATGGACTGGGAACGATGCGGGCTGATCAGTGCTGTGCCTGGCTTAGAGTGAGCATCAGTAAGGGTTAGTTTTTGTTACTACTAGTATTTTCTTTTTTTAAAAAAGATTTATTTATGCATATTTCTTATTTATGCACAAGAACTGGGGTACAGGCCAGAGATGTGGGGGGGTGAGAGGATCCACCAGAGACAGAGCGGGGAACAGAACAGGCAGACTGACTGAAACACACTGCTGAGGGGAGCAGCAAGCGAGACAGGAGAGGTCTGCCTCGCCATGTGGGTTTCTCCCTGGCCGGCCGGGGATAGAACTCGTGCTGCAGAGGCTGTGGATTGCTTCATAGTGTGGTGCTTAACCACCTGTGCCACCAGGGAGGCCCACTATTAGTTTTTTCAATGGTTGCTATGGATTGGGGAAGGGGGGGGATTACAGAGGCTTCTTAGAGGAACTAGCAGACGAAGGGACTAAAGAGGCAGCTCTGGGACCCCACCCCAGTTCCCACCCAGAGTTGTACCATGCTCATAGTGAGTGTCTATGCAAAAGTGTATTGAAAAAAAGTGCCTGCAGCTTAACAAAGGCTGTACTGTCCTGTCCAATACACAGCCCCCAGTCCCACAGTAATTTCTCTCTGGTCCAAATTGAGATGTGCTGTCAGCATAAAATAGACCCCGGATTTCAAAGACTTAGTATCTCCATTTTAAAGATATTATTACATGTTGAAATGAACAGAGTTTGGCTATGTGGGGTTAAATGAAATACTTTATTAAAATTACTTTCACCTGTTTCTTTTGACATTTTTAATGCGGCTACTAGGAAATTTCAAATTTCCTCTGTGGCATGCACTTGTGGCTCGAATCGTATTTCTGTTGGACAGCGCTGCCTTAGACTGCTCAGCCAGGCCAAAGCGCAGGGGCTGGGAGGCGAGACTGCTGACCTCCCCAGGTCCTGATGGAGTACCTACACAGCTTGCCAGGGGACCTGAAAGCCCAGCATGAGGGCTTTATTGGGGGGGGGGGCGTGTCTAGAAGGCTTGCAGGATTCTAAGAGGTTACTTTGTGGATCAAATACGCCACTAAGGGAAATGATTTCTGTCCTTAGCAACCTGGATAAGCCATGGAGACAAAGATACGGGGTGCATGGGAACAGGCAAGGTGGGGAGGGGGTGCCAGAAGCCATCCATGTCTCATTCTAAAAGGATAAACAGTAATTATCAGATAAAATCCTATTCCTAAAAATTCCAGGGAAGCCAGAGAGATGGTGAAGAGAAATGGAAGACAGGGGAACTGGGATGCCTGAGGTCTACCCTTGCCAGTCACAGCTGAGCAACTGCTGGGCCATCCTCCCGTATGGGTGCTACAGGAGCTTACCTGCCAGATTTGGGTCTTAGGGTCACTGTCCTTATCCTTGGTCCTGTGATCACACCGGGGGCAGCAAAGCCCCAGGTTACCTCAGGCTTACCCCAAGTTCAAAGAAGTGTTGCCTTGTTGGAGACGGCTGAGTTGTTCCTCTACTTGTACCCTTGTTTCCCTTGGAGTCTTACCTCCAAGGAACAAAGCCAGAATTGTGGGAAAGGAAATAATGCAGGAGGTCAAGGATCAGGACTGGGCCTAAACCCCAGCTGATCTAGGGGCTGAGAATATTGGGGCAGTTCTCTCTGATGGCCAGTCCCCAGAACTATTTTTTATAAGACCCTTCTATACACCAGTGCACAAGCATTTTTCTGTATCTCATTTAATACTTAATTTAATCCAGAAACGTTGTGAAGAAAGGGCTATTTCAGCTGCGTTTTACAGATGAGGAAACTGAGGTCAAGAGAGGAAACTGACTTGGCCTAGGATACACAATCAGTGAACATGGAGTCAGGTGTCATACCCTGGCCACACACAGTTAAGCAGGGCCTGCATATGTCAAGGCAAGACCTTCTGCTGTACCACAATGTCCCCTTCTGCTGTACCACACTGTCCCCAGTCTCTGCCTGGGCGAGGTTGCGGTCAGGTTGGCTGTTCTGGATTGGAAAAGGAGGCCAGAGGCTGCAGGTTCCCACCATCTCCAGCACTCCACTTGCGCTATTGCTGCTCTGGATCTGCCTGCAGAGGGCAGTACTGAGTACACACTGGTACATCCTCTCCAGGGCTCCCTTAGGCTTTGGGCTCCAGGGCTTCTGGCACTGGCCCAGGCCCTGGGTCTGGGAAGCCTCTGCCCAGAAACCAACAGGAGAGTGAGCCAGCCCTTCCTGGAACCAGCTTCCTCCAGAGGGGCCCACTGAAGACATGTTTCCCCTGGACATCTCATGGGCTAATGCAGTAGTGGAGAGACAGTGGTCAGTGGACTATACTAGGACCATGCAGCCAACCCAGTAGTGGCATTCATATGCTGCCTGTCCCTAAGGAAATCACTTCACCTTATCACAAAATGAGGCCAAGAGAACCGTTCCCCCCAATCTCCTGCAGGCTTTGTGTAAGGAGGAGAGATCTATGAACCTAGTAGAAGCTTAAGGTGCCCATCATCAGTATTACCACTGTGGGGCCACACTGCCCTTGACTGAGAGGCTTCAGGAGGAGGAAAATAGAGACTCTGGAAGGTGAGCTGCCTTGCCCAAAGGAGAGCCAGGATGTGAACCAGCAGTCAGACTCCAGATCCTTGCCCTCAGTCATACTGCTGTATTGCACAGGACAGCTACGGATATGGTTTTGAGGGGGGTCTCACAACAGGGTGCCGTAGGGTGTCCCCGATCTTTGCAGTTATGAGGGGCTGGGAGGTACCCACCAAGAGGGCTAGGGGCAGCAAGGAATGCAGGGAGCACTGCAGCCTTATTCCCAATCCCCAGTATTCCAGCCAATACCACCTGTGGGAAAGAAATTCAGCAGGCGAAAAGGGCTGCTCCATGTTCCACCTTGGGCTGGGTGCTGTGGACATGACCTGCCCAAGAGGGGCTCTGTCTGATGGGTTTGCCAGGGGAAGATCTGGTCAGCCAAGGTTAGGCTTTCCAAGTGCCCGCTGTGTGCCCAGAGGGCCCTGGGAGGCCAGGGGGTGCCCCTGTGAGCTGTGCCAGGCCCTCGCAGTTTCTCACTCTACATTTGGCTCTCCATCTAGGCCAGAAGCTCCCTTGGCCTCAGACCTACCTGGGCTATGTCCCTCCCTTAGTGTCCAGGGCAGCAAGGGCCTATCACAGGGCTTAGGGTAGACTGGGTGAACCACGGTGCCTCTTGTGCTGAATTAAGATGCCAGGCTCTGGGGAGGATGGGAGGTATGCTCCCACATTCCACAGGAGGGCTGGTAATGTGGGGGAAGGGGGTGGCAAAAGCTTGGGTAGGGAGCTCACAAGGAGGGCGGCGCAGACCAGAGGGGATCTGGAGTGTCCAGTTAGATCTGCTGCGGCCTTGGGCATGTCACTGCCTCTCCTCACATCCCAGGGCACAGAGGCCGAGCGAGGTACCTGGACCGAGCCAGCAGAAGACAACCTGGGCAGGGCAGGGGTGCCCAGCGGCGCGACGGCCGCCTCCCCAAGCGCGCGCCAGGCCTCCAGTCGCTCCGGGCTTGGCCTCCCTTGCCGGGATCCTCCCCGCGCCCGCTGTGTGACCTTGACCCTCGGGCCCAGCCCCGCCGCCCGCCGGGTCCGCCGGGTCCTCCGGGTCCCCGGGGCCGGGCCGCGCTTTCTAATCCGGCGGGCGCTGGAGCGCCGAGGGGCGTCGCCGGGCAGCCAGGGGGCGCCGAGGGCTCGGGCGCCCCTCCCGCGGGGCCCCTGGCGGCGGGCGCCGGGGCGGCGGCGCGCGGGGCGCGGGGCGCGGGGCGGGGGCGCCGCGCTCCCCCCGCGGTGCCCAGGCCGGGGCGCGGGGCGGGCCGGGCGGGCTAATCCCGTATGTAAATGGCAGCCAATGGAGGGTGGTGTTGCGCGGGGCTGGGATTAGGGCCGGGGCGAATGGCTGGCAATCTTACTGGGATTACAGAACAAAGAGCCTCCCCGCGCTCCCGCTCTCGGCTCCGCTCCCCGCGCCGCGCCCCGCCCTCCGCCGCAGCCCGCGCCGGGGGTGGGGGCCGCCGAGCGCCAGCCCCCCGGCCGGCCGAGCTCCCCCGCCGCGGCCCCCTCCCCTCCCGCCCCGCGCCCCGCGCCCCGCGCGCCGCCCGCCGCCCGCCCGCCCCTCCGCGCGCCGCGGCGCTCCTCGCCTCCCTCCGGCGCGCCGTCCCCCATTCTCCCGGATTAATTAAGGAGGCAGCGGCAGGAGGCTGAGTCCTGGCCGCGGGCCGGGGCCGGGGCGCCGCTGGCAGGAGCGCTTGGGGATCCTCCAAGGTAGGAGAAACTTTTGCGGGGGGCGGGCGCCCGGGCCCTTCTCCCCTTCTCCCCCCACCCCCGTGGCCCCCGCCCCTCCCCCTCAAGGTGTTACAGAATCTGGGTCCGGCTTTTGGGTGCATCGGGAGGCACGTGACTGGGATTATAATTTGGGCCGGGGGAGGGGAGGGCCGGCCACCCCCACCTGCCGGGAGGGGATGGGAGCCGGGAGCTGTCACCCCCAGCCCTTCCGGGGGTGGGGGGCGCCCCGGGAGGCGGCGGGGCGCCGGCAGGCTGCAGCAGTTGGCAAATGAGGTCAGTTCTGCTGCCCGCGTTGGCGGCGCCAGTGTGGGAGCAGGGGGGGCTGGGAAGGCCGGTCGCCCCGTCCCCCGACCCAGCCCACCGCTGCCCTGCCCCTGTGGGTCATCTCCGGCGCGTGCCCCCCACTCACCGGCTGAGTCTGACACAGTCAGCGCTGCCCCAGCGCTGTGGCTCCTGTTGGGGGCTCCGGGGAGGGGGCTGGCAGGAGTGGAGGCAGCTGGACCCGTGGTAGGGTGGGGAGGAGACTCAGGATGGCAGTGGGGAGCACAAAGGGTTCAGAGGAGTAAGTTGGGGGGTGGCCTGTCTGTGGGTGGTCTCTTGAGTTCCTGCAGAAGGGCAGGAAAGCCAGTGGAGGGGCCACGGGGTGCTTGGAGCCTGTCCTGAGTCCCGGGAAATGATGGACTTGACACCTATCTTGGGCTCCCTGGTGCCCACCTGCAGCAGGGAGAGAGCCGTGCTCTGACTGGCGCCCAGGCAGAGGGAAACCTGCAGCTGAGTTCTGCCCTCCGGAGGGGACCCCAGCTCTGGATGCTGGGTTTGTAGCCCGGCTTCCCAGGACCAGACCTGGGGTGGGAGCCTCCGTGTCCCCATCACAGCTGAAGTGAGGAAGTTCAACATACAGGGGTCTCCCTGCCAGGCACGTGGGGGAAGTGCTGGCCTTGGATAGAGAGTGGACTGAGTGATGTGGAGTGTGTGGCTACCCTGGGAATACCCCGGCCTGGTAGCTGGGGTGAGGGGCAGGCCTGGACAATTTCTGGAGGAGTGGGCATTTTGGGGGGGGGGCCCTTCTTACTGCTCACAGAAGAAGGAAAGGATGGCGGGGGCTGCTCTGAGCCCCTGGCCATCATCTCCTGTGTGTTTGGTGGCCCCAAGACGAGGACTGCTCATCACTGACCCTGGGGCCTCGGGGCTTTGGGAGGTGCCTCAGAGCAGCCCATTTATTTCAGCACCGTCATTCCCAAAGGGGAAGGGCACCGGCATCGATTATTTATTCAGAGCAGTAGGCGGTGGTGGCTGGGAGTCTGGTCGCTGCTGGCGGGGAGGGGCTGGGCACAAGGGCAGCCAGGATAGGGGCGGTCAGGTGGCCATCAGGAGCCATCAAGTGTGGGGCCCAGGAGGAGGTGAGGTAGACTCTGACCTCTTCTGAGCAGAGCTGGGAGGACCAAGGGACAGACCTGGCTTTGGATGTCAGATAGGATGTCAGAACCCCCAGCCTGCTTTTGGGGTGTGGGAGACTTAAGACCATACCTCGTTCTGTGCCTGTGCTGAGGGTGACCTAAAAAGTCAAGACTTTGACTCAGAAGGCTCAGAGGAAATGAGGAAAGGTTGGCACTTCGGAGCCACTCACTGCCCGTTCATTCAAAAGGTGCAAGAATTTAGGGCCGAAGGTTGCAAAACTGGGTCTTGAAGACTGCATTGGAGGGGCGCGTTTAACCTACTTTAGAGGGCTCTTCTCCAGATGCCGGCGGTAGGGTCATTTATTTGCAGATACTTTTTTCCTGTTCATTTAAGGCAGTCTCCCAGAGCCGGGCTAGTCTGACACGGTGGCAGTTAGTGCTTGGTGCTTGGAAATAGTGGGCATGGCAGGCTAATGACGGGCCTCGGCAGCAGCTCCTGTAGCAGCCTGCTTGTTCCCAGCACTCATGCATCCGGTTCAGTAGACACCCTGGTTGTCAGAGACCCCAGGTCAGGGTTTCAGGGTGACGTGGGTGGCGGCTTGGGACATTCGTGTCTTAAGCGTGACCTTGGAATGTCCATTCTCATTCTGCGTCTGGGTCATCTCTGCCTCTCACTGGCCCATCCACTGCTTCTTCCAATCCCAGGGCCTTTGCACATGCTGTTCCTCTTGCCTTGAAGGTTCTTCCCCCCTTCCCCTGAGCCAGGTGGGGGCTTCCTTTAATGTCCCCACCTGGCTAGAGTGAGGGTAAGGGGTTATAGAATTTGTCTCTTCCCGCTCCTGTTAGGACTTAACTCAGCTGTCATGTCCTTCGGTTGGAAGCCTTCCAGGGCTAGGGCTACTCTGAGCCCCAGTGTTCATGTAAAGAGTGAAACACCCATCTGCCCACTCGCACTAGGGCTAGGACAGGGAACAGAGGCTTACTTTTGACTCCCTGGTGCTCCGGGGCTGGTCCTCAAGTACTTGTTAAAGAGCTGGCTGCCTGAGTGAATGAATGAAATCCCACCCCAGAGCCTTGGCCCAGATTGCCGAACTGACTCCCTCCACTTGCTCCTAGATTATCCCATCTCTGGAGCAGGGTGGTGGGAATCCCAGAGCTTTCCCTGAGCATCCTGCTCCCTGGCTTCCAGGGGCCCACTCTCTCCCCCAGCCTATGACTTCTCCCAAACTTGAGCCTGGGGCTTTACTCTCCAGGCATCATCCATCCTGCTTCTCTTACCCCTTCCACACTCAGCCATTTGTGGGTATCTCACTCTGTTGCCTGGCAGCCAAGGGACATAGCCAGGTTCCTTGGGACCAGCCAGGAGTGTGTGGCCAGCTCCATGGGGCCCACTGAGACTTCCACTGGCCCCTGGGAATAAGATTTTCAGGGTTCGTTCACAAACACCGGGAAGTAGAGCAGGACCCAGGACTCGGGCCCTCCCAGACGGTGTGGGGCCAGGTGTGGAGTCTTGGGGAGCCTGGAAGGGAATTCCCAACAGGAACTCATAAGCAGGGGTGGAGTTGGGGGAAGGATTATTTTATGTGGGAGAATTGAGAGGCAACCCTGGTCAGAGACAGTGAGATACTTCCCCCTCATTGGTGGCAGGGTGACAGTAGATCCCAAGGACAGGCCTAGTTCCCTCCCTGGGTGCCCAGGTTCCTCATCGGCAGGGGTGTCTGCCTGGGACTGTTGTCTGTCATCCTCATTCTCACTAGGCTGGAGACCTTGTCATTTCAGACTCAGTGCTCTGGGCGATGGCAGATGACAGCGAAGGGACTCAGGCCTGGGGGGAAGGTGGTGCAAGGGGTTGAGCCCTTGTTCACTTTGGGGAGAGTAAGATTTCCTGAATGGGCTAGAGGAGGCGGAGTTTTGTGTGTGCTCGGGTTTGGGGTGACGAGCTGGAGTGTCCGAGGCAGTGAGCAGAACTGTCATTCCAGATACCCTTCCTTTTAGTCCCGAGCTGGGTCTGGTGACCCAGAGCTATTTGCGTGCCCACCTGTCTCCCTCCTTCAGGACCACCTGCTTCGGTTGCCAGATTTAGCCAGTAAAAATAGGGACGCCTGGTTAAATTTGGATTTCAGATAGGCAACAGATAATGCAGTGTTGGGGACATAACTGCAATAAAAACTTAATCATTGTTTATTTGAAGTTCAGACTGAATCTAGGTCTTACATGTTATCTGGCAGCCCTATAGCTGCAGCCTCCGGGCATTGAGACTGTTGGCCTGAGGAGGGGTGTGAGGGCGTCGCTGGGGCTTGGAGATGGGCTCAGGGCCCCTCCTGAGGCTCCTCAGACTGTCTGGAGTGAATGTGAATCAGTCAGAGCCGATTCTAGTCTCCTCATTCAGACTTTCTCGTGTGTGTGGTTGAAGGGTCCAGCTCTCCTATTTGAGCCTGGGTGGCCTGGGGGAGGAGGCTCAGAGACCCCCGCTGTTCAGTTTTCTGAGCCGCTCTGGTTCATGTGGCCTATTAAGAGATACTGAGAGGAAAAGGGAAATTGCTGGGGACTGTTGCTTCGCGGGGTGGGGGATGAAGGAAAGACAATTCAAAGTCCAAGTGGAGAGAGGCCTAGAGGGGCTTACACCACAGAAAGTGCGGCCCTGATCTGTGGGCTGTCTCGTATTTATTTAGGACCAGGTTCGGGGGACGTGGGCAAGAATGTGGAGGAATGTACACATGTGGGGTGTGTTATTGTCTGGTGTAAGCTAAGCTGGAGTGACCAGGGCTATTGCTTGGGGGGCTCCATAGTTCCCACTAATCAAAGCATATTGTCTCTACCCCCTATTCTTACCTCACTTTCTGCTAATCTTTCTAAGTAAGATATTCTAGCTGATCTTGCCAGTCTGGCCATAATGTCCGCCTGCTGTTTTCAGCAGATACAGGTTTCCCATTATGTTCCTCACACCAGGACTTTTGCCCTTGGTGAGAGGCCCCCTCCTGATCTACATTTTAGCTTGACCAGCAGGAACCCTGGGCAACAGGATAGTAGCCCCCAGAACAAAGAGGGTAGGGGATTCCACAGGGGACACCCTGGTAGACCCCAATTTGGGATTTACAGTCAAGATTTGCAAAGCCAGGCCTGAGCACTGGGGGCCATTTTGCTGATACCCCCCCCTGAAGTCTTGGAGTTCCTGGGAACCCCGATATGGGAGGGTCCTTGCTGGGGTGGTGATGGATTTGAGGGCTGTCTCCTTGAAGGGATGCCTGGTGAGTTCGGCATCATGGTTGCTGGGGGATTAACCACCCCCCCAAAAGCAGGACCCCCTTCCCTGCCCCTGTGCTGCACTGAGGTCCCTGGAATGGGGGTAGGGGTTGGCCAGGAAGTGAGGGATGGGAGTCTTATGACCAAGTCCCCTCTCTCCAGTCTGACCTGTGTGTTCATATGTAAAATGGAGACAGGTGGCATTGTGTTTTTAGGGTGTGTGGTGTTACATGGAGGGGGCTCCACGGCATGGGTGTGTGGGTCACCTCAGGCCAGGTTTGGAGTGGAGCAGGATGGGAATCCACAGGTGCAAGGACAGAACTTGAAAGATTGGGCAGC